AATTCCAAATTACTTTAAAAAAGTACTTAAATACAATTACATAAAGAAGAAAAAGTAATTCAGCTCTGAGTTTTGGGTATTAATATCGTGGATGTCAAAAACGCTCGGACAGGTCGATTTTAGTTTGCATTTTTTTGTTGCAAGAGCAATATGAAGATATTTAGATTAATGTTATGTGGTGCACTGAACTAATAAGTTTTTAAATGAAGTATCATACTTTGCAATACGTAATAGTTTTTTCATCAAGCTAGAGGACGCTAAAATCAAAAGTAATGCAATAAATGATCTTATTGTCGAATTTCTCCATCAGATTACCTTTTCATTGTTGTGTCATCCATGTGACTTTCCACATACTTTGATTACTATACGGTGCAAGGGAGAGGTCCGACACGCTCAACATAGGGCGCGGCCATTTTGATGCCTTTACCACAGTTTATAGCTAAAGAATCAGTTCGCTCACTCTGCGTCGGCACTTTTGATCTCAATGTTACAGTTTATACACTGCGCAACTCGGATAATACAATATATGACAACGGCCTGTAATAAAACAGCAGTCTTCTGCGCATCCTGAATTTGTATCCCTGTAGTGGATGTTATTTTGGAACTTTCAACTGGTCCGAGTGAGCTAACTGATTCTTTAGCAATAAACTGTGACTCCAAAAATAATATTTACTGACAGTAGCAAGCAAAATATCAGGTGCGTTTTAATCATCCGCTTCTGCTTCCGGAATTGTCGGTTTAGTCGTTTTAACCTGTCAGATTAAAACAAGAAAACCGACAATTCCGAAGCAGAAGTGGATGACTAAAACTATTGAAAACATTGCGCCAAGATGTAGGCAACACGTAATAAGGCACCAAAATGGCGGAGTTTTCTATCTCCTTTTAAAAGACACTCAGAAAGCTGCGCGGCAGTGCGACCATTCTCCGTATAGTAAGAGAAAATCAAAGTATGTGTGACTTTCCCACACATGACTTTCCCTCTTTAAATTGTATAAGGGTTGTTCACCCCACTGCTCGAGGGTTGAAGTAACACGATGCTGCAATAAAAAAAACATGTCCCCTTCCAAATTAAAATCGACCTGACCGAGTATTTTTTAACATCCACGATAATAATACCCAAGTTTTCGTTGGGCCGTCTTTTATATTATGTTTAAATATTACTGTGCAATTTTTCTCATGGAGGAAGGTTTTTCTGAAAACATTGAGTTATAAATATAATTTTTGCAATTTCGGCCCTGTTTTCTTCTTTTTTTTTCCTTAGTCCCGTGCTCTATTGGACAATTTTACTATCAAGTTGTAGTTAGATAATCACCAAGTGCGAGGCGCTTTTTTTTTTTGAAATTTGTAATGTGAGGTTAATTAACATCTGATAAATTGTAAATAAATATTGTACCATAACATTAGTATTTTTTCTTTAAAGTGTCTTTGTAAAAACAATTTCAGTTCTGAAAATAGTCACTACTCCAAAAGTTTGATTTTGAATGCAATAAAATGTAAGTAATTACAACATATATTTTGTCTATACTATAGGGTAAATGGTAAACCATACGTACATCATTTTCAAAGTCTCCAGGATTTGATCTTTTACAGCAAAATGCCGTATTTGTCCAACAAAACACTGTATTTGTCTAGAGATAACGCCATTATTGAGCAATGTAATACATAATTTACTGAAACAAGAGTATCACCATTGAAATATCAGGAGTTTTCAAAAAAGGGGGCATGAATCTACCATCTGCTTACAGACCTATTTCAATTATACCAATAGCAAGCAAAATTTTTGAAATAATGTTAAATTTTTTTTTGAAAGCAACAAGTTGCTAAGCCAAAATCAATTCGGTTACAGGGCAAACAAATCAACAATTAACGCAATATCTGATCTCTATGAAGATGTTATGGATGATTTTGAGGATCGTTCACATAGTACTGCCAGCTCTTATGATAGCGTTCGATATGGTTCAACATGACATTTTATTATTAAAATTAGAGAGATATGGTGTTAAAGGGACACCATTACAGCTTATTAGCTCTTATTTGCAAAAAACAACTCAATATGTTCAAATTGATGGGCATATTTCGGGCAAGAATTCAGTACTGTATGGAGTTCCACAGGGTTATATTCTCAGACTCTTACTTTTTATCATTTACTTTAATGATTTGTCAATTAATTTAAGTAATATCATACAGGTGTATTGTGCTGATGATTCAACATATATTACTACAGGTCTTACATTAAATGAAGCAAAAACTCAGCAAATGTCATTTTCTATCATTGCTAAAAGTGAGGAACAGGTTAAACTTTTAGGAATGCTTTGAGACCCGAAACTAGATTTTAAATATCACATTCAAAGTTTACTAAGTCATTTAGCAACTTATGCAATTAGACAGCTAAAATTTCAAATAGACATTGTACATTTAAAAATGGTCTACTTTTCATTGTTTCATAGCATTATGATGTATGGGGTTATACTTCGGGGAAATACAAGCAATCAACTTAGGGTATTTATTGCATAAAAAAAATAGTACGTATCATGTACAATAGTCACTGCCAACCTATTTTTAAACAGTTGGGTATTTTACCACTACCATGTTGTTTTATTTTAGATTGTCTTTTATGCATGAAAAAACAAATTGATAATAATAATGTTATAAAACAGAACTCTAAAAACTCTTATTGCACCAGAGGAAATTATGATATATTTTTACCTAATTACAGATTAACCAAACTTCATGATTCTTATAGTTATATCAGCATTAAACTGTACAATTCCCTACCTCAAGCTTATAAAAACACATCTTTTAATTTATTTAATATAAGAATTCGTAAATTTTTGTCATCACTGCTTTTATTCCATTGACGAATTTTTATCACATGTGTCCATCTGTGCATGTGAGTAATGTGTAAACCTTTTGGTGAATATACCATTTTAATTTTTAAGTATGTTTAAATATGTTATGTGTATCTATATATTTTTTTGTCTATATTTTTCTAAATTGTAACTGTATTTTCTGTATCTAAACCTACATCTTTATTTATATACTTTTAACATTGACACATGTAAAATATTTATTTTTATTTTACATCTATCTATCTATAAGTAAAACGTACCAAATAAGGCAAAGTAATACAAGACTCCTTTTTCTGTTTTTTGTAAATAAATATTAAATAATGTAAAATTTACGGAAACCATAGATGGTTGTATATTTTAATTTTTACTTGGTTATTATTTAAACTACTACTCTTGTGATCTTTATATACCTTAAGGTGATTACAGCACCCCCTTATAATTTTCGGACAAGGATATCTCAAAAAGTATTTTTTTTAAAAAGTTAAAATTTTGGCAAAATATATTAGGTAATAATATCTAGAATATGCATATATTTGAAAGTTTTAATTCCTTCCAGTTTCCGAGAAAAAAATTCAAAGGGCTTTAAATTTTGAAATATCATAATGAAAATAAATGCATTCCTTAACATCACTATTCTTAATATAATCCCTAAATTTAAGCTCTCAATCTTTTGTTAATGATTTTTTAAAATTCGCCGAAATTAGTGGCTAAAACGCCTTGTTAAGTGCTATTTTCTAGTTTAAACTGGTGTAAATCGTTGCAAGAAACGAATGATGACTCAGAGTGTACGATACGATAGTTACAGACGCGTTACAGTAGAAAGAAGCACTTAACGAGGCGTTTTAGCCACTAATTTCGGCCAATTTTAAAAAATCAATAACAAGAGATTAAGAGCTTAAATTTGGGGATTATATTAAGAATACTGCTGTTGAGGAATGTATTTTCATTATGATATTTCAAAATTTAAATCCCTTTGATTTTTTTTCTCGGAAACTGTAAGGAATTAAAACTTTAAAAAATATGCATGTTCTAGATATTATTGCCTAATTTATTTTGCCCATATTTAAATTTTCTAAAAAAATTACTTTTTGAGATATCCTTGTCCGAAAATTATAAGGGGGTGCTGTAATCACCTTAATAAAAATTTTTTGCAAACCCTGTTCCAAACAGAGGCACTGATCTTAGAAAAACTCCAACTAAAAACTGTCTCATTTACTTTTTAAAGGTGTAAATTTATACAGTATGGTTCAAATGAAAGGAATAAATTCATTATAATGGAAGTAGCTGGTTTTTCGAAAAAATGCTCGGACAGGTCAATTTTGTTTACTTAAAGCGCAATTTTTTAAATAAAATTCAATTTTCCCCCACTTCCCATTTTTGGGCAGTGACGTCATTGACAATTTTTTTAAATAGCAACCCAAATTTTTTTTTCTTGATTTTGAAAGATCTTGCAATTTCCTACTCGGAAACATAATATTTGAAATATCTGACATAACAATTTTTTTTGAAAAAAAGTCATTTCAAGATCAGATACATAAATTTTATGTTATTTTGAAACACAATAAATTAATAACAGATAATTATTTGTAATTAAATGCTTAATCTAACAAAATAATAATAAAAAGAATTTGTGAAATTGTCATTAAATTCGTTTTATTATTATTATTATTATTATTATTTTTAAATTAAGCACTTAATTACAAATAATTATCTTTTATTAATTTATTGTGTTTCAAAATAACATAAAATTTATGTATCTGATCTTGAAATGACCTTTTTTCAAAAAAAATTGTTATGTCAGATATTTCAAATATTACGTTTCCAAGTAGGAAATTGCAAGATCTATCAAAATCAAGAAAAAAAAATTGGGGTTTCTATTTAAAAAAATTGTCAATGACGTCACTGCCCAAAAATGGGAAGTGGGGGAAAATTGAATTTTATTTAAAAAATTGCGCTTAAGGTAAAGAAAATTGACCTGTTCGAGCATTTTTTCGAAAAACCAACTACTTCCATTATAATGAATTTATTCCTTTCATTTGAACCATACTGTATGTGCTGATTATATAGTTTTTATTTTAAAAGTATGATACTACCCAGTACAATCCGGTTGTGCTGGTCTAGGGAATCTATAAACAGTAATAAAAAAATAAATATATTAGAGTGTATATATATTTGAATACAATACAAAACGGTATAAATTATAATACTGTACTAAGTAATTACATTTTTCTTATACTTAGTTAACAAATAACCAAAAGATAATAAAAACCCTCCAAACATATCCCAAAATTTGAAAGATTTTAAATATCACATTTTAAAAATACATTATGAAATAGTTTCAGTTGCTAAAGCTTTAGCCGCCTTAAAGGTATTTGCCATCAGCATAGCAACAGTCATAGGTCCTACTCCACCTGGAACCGGAGTTATGTGGCCAGCCACATCGTAACATCCTAAAACAAATTCAGAATGGTTATGAATATACATTAAAATTAAAGATGTTTTAACAAAATTAATTTGAGCAGTAATAGGTAGATGTTTTAAGTGAATATGAAGCCATCTAAATTTTACTAGTTTTCCTTAAAATTATTTTGTTTTATAGTTGTATATCTACCTTCAAAATCTACATCTCCCACAAGTTTGCTTTTTCCATCATCAGTTTTTATTCTGGTAATACCAACGTCAATAATACATGCATCTGGTTTTATCATATCTGGTCTAATAAGGCCAGCAATTCCTGAAAAAATATAAAATAATTAGTTTATGATTTGCTTTAGTTTTTTTTTTTACTTTTAAGACTCTGTTTTTGTTTCTTACCTGTAGCAGTTATGATAATATCCGCCCTTTTAGCGAAAAATTCCAATTCTTCTGGAGGTGTGTGCCTATGGCATATAGTCACTGTTGCTTCAAGACCTGAACACTCATTTCTTGCATCGGAATGTAGAAGTAGTGCTATTGGAAGGCCCACATTTTTAGACCTACCACATACTACAACGTTTTTTCCAAAAGTTTTTATATGAGACCTGAAAAATATATATATTTAATTTTTGGTTAATTAAGCAATAGTTTTCTATGGTTTTTAATTTAATTTACCTCTTTATAAGTTCCACTACTCCTAGGGCAGTAGCGGGAATTAAAGTATCCATATTAAGGGCTAGTTTTCCCATATTTGTTACATGGAATCCATCTACATCTTTTCTCGGATCTACAGCATTGCAGACATTTCTTTCGGAAATATGTTCAGGCACAGGTAGTTGTACTAGAATACCATCTATATTCGAATCATTGTTTAATTCTATTATTTTATTTATAACCTCTTCCTCGGATACGGTTTTTGGTAGCTTTATGGTATCGCTTGTTATACCTGTTAATAAAAATAATAATTCATTGATGAATAACGCAGCAAACGATAAATTAACGATACTAGATACAGTAGAAAAGAATTATTGTTTTACTGTAAGACAGCTGATGTGTCAAGGAGAATATTCATTGCCACCTAGTGAGTAATTTGATTTATACTACTGAGGCGTGTATGGTGTTTACAGTGACAAATATCACAGGAAAGAGTCCCAGAATCTTTAGTAAGAAATTATTTAATAAAACTTATCAAAGACAAAGAACTTTTTCTTTCCATTTACTTCAGCCCGAGTTAAACTGCAACCTTACAGTTGCAAAGGATATGTTTCAATGTGTCGTTAAATAAGCTATAGTAAAATTTTACTGGTTAGATATAACTGGAGGCCGAACATATAATTATTAAAGTATAAAGTTTTGTCTCGTATGTATCGTGATATGAACCAATAAATCCAGAGAATTGTTTACAAACCTAAACTCTTTGATTGCACATATAAAATATTTCGATCATTATATTCCCTAATAAATCAAGGGACGGAAACTTCATAAACAGCCACTGAACGTTACCCAGTTTGGTTTACACAAGTGGATGTGAAAACTACAGAGAGTTAGCATCAGTGCAAGCAAGAAACAAATAATAGCGTTTCGAGTTTATATGGCCCGGCCAACGTTACAACGCGGTCGGGCCGTATAAAATGGCCAATTACTAGGTTGAAGAAATATAAGCATGTACCCATTTTATTTTTTTTAAATTCGTTTATAATTATTTTCCGATTGCGTATAGCATTCAAAGTTATCTGTATTGTATTATTTCACTTACCAATTTTTTTGGCAGCCAGCATTTTATTCTGCACGTATTTCTTGCTAGCTGGGTCTTCTCCCACTAAAATGGCGATCAAACATGGCGCGCGACGTCCCTTACTAACATATTCGTCTATTTCTGCTCGCAGTTCTTTGTGAATTTCCTCGGAAATCTTTTTACCATCAATAATTTTTGAACCAGTTGGCCTAAGCAAACAAAAATTATATACATGAAAAAACAATTTTTTACAGGAAAATAACGGTTATTTTATGAGTTTGTTATTATTACAGAATTATTTTGGTATCCCTATATGTATACATAGATGGCGATTCTAAAAGCTCAAATGGCTTTGCAAAAAATTATTATCATTCAATACAAAAAATAATCCCCCTTATTAGCCAAATTTTGTTAACGTCTTTTAGCTTAATCACTTTCATTTGAATCATCCCTTAAAAATACCAGTATAGTAGAAAAACCCTGTATATATTTTACAGGAGAAAATCTACAATCCTTGTAAAAAGTGATGCAAATAACAGAAATTCCAATGCAAAATTATTTTTCAATAAGCGATATTTTTTAAGAATAATAATTCACTGTTAGATCGTGCTATACCTATATCAAAAATAATAAATATTATTTTTTAATCATAATATAGCGTTATTTCAATTTACAAAATTCGAAATTATTAAATAGTTCCCAAAAAGTATACTTTACCTCCAACGCATTTTTCAAACTAAATATATTAAACTAAAAGAACTCTTTGGATGTACTAAATATACTAATGTCCATCTTTAATAGTGCCGTTATTTATATGAATAAAATTTCATCACATATTAATGATGAAAATACTGGACTTACTTAATACAAAAAAATAAAAACACAATTTTCAAAATTTATTAGCGTCATAAAAGAGTTGCATCATTTTGTTATGGAGACAGAACAATTGTATTATTTTTCAGCTTTTAAATTGTTGTTTACCACTGATTTTTAGAAAATAGATAAGTTGTAAGTAAGTAGCTAGTTATAATTATAAAAATAGATTACACTTTTAGATAATTTTGCATTCATTATTTACTTCCTTCAATTTATTCATTCTTTGCACCAGAGCTATCTAATATTTGCGACATCTACTTTTATTATTACACAATACAGTCCACCAAAAACAATATATTTTTATATATCTATGTACTGTAAACACGATTTTATGTATTGAAACAAATAGAAGTTGCGAATAAGATAATTGTCTGATTATCTGAATACACTTTTAAAAATTACGCGTTTATTGAGCTAAAGTAGGTTTTGCGTTAAAGCTACACGCAACATGGTAAGGTAAGATGTGCATTTCATTCTCCCAGTTGGGATCGAACCGCTGTAGTCATTCCTAGCCTCTTTAGCAGCATTGGATGAATCAGGGATTAGGTCTGAGGGGATTGGGTCGAAGGAATCGTGGTAGGTCTCTGATAGGGTGTTACTGCCCCAGTATTTGGTTGGGGGACTTGATCTTACGACTTTGTGACAGGCTCCTGGTTCACCTACAGTGAATCAGCGAGTCTGTATGGCGCTATGATGGTGATACCCGAATAGGGGTTGCTCAGGCGCCAGTTTTGGTATCGCAGTTTGCTCTGCGACCCTGAAGTACACCAGAGTGTACTCAAAGTAAACTCAGTGGAGGTAAAAAAATAATTCCAGGCGGTCACTGCCAGGTAGCCACTATACTAGAATAAATAAAAAAAAAAAAAACACCTCGTACCCTACGGTACCCTTTAGAAAAATAAACGGGGTTGTTCAATATTCTTTCGATATTACGGTCACTCACGGAGTATTTACTAGACATTAACTAAGGGTGAATAGTTTTCGGCTGTCGGCAATCAAGAGAGAAGAGCTTACGGCGGCTGGCAAGCGAGAAGAGGGCGTAATTCCCAGATCTCATTTAATTTATGCTTTTTCGGTAAAGCAAGATGGAAGACCAGTAAGCCCAAGTGGGGATACCACTACTACAGCTGACTGTTTACAATTTAGAAATATAAAAAATGTCCTTCTAGTAACTTGACAATTAAAAGTAGATAATTTATATAAAATCGACTCTAAAAATGCCCATTCGAATTTCGGCAAATACAAGAATATTTTAATCTACGAGGGTACTCGCAATTGTTGAAAAACGGTAATTCATAGGAAACAGAAATACGGGGGAACTTCTACATGTTCTCAGGCGGGAATTAATTGAAATATACATTTTTAAGATGAATTAAAAATAAAATTTAGTGACTTCGTCACAACCTTCCGAATGCGAGGTAGATGCGTTACCGCAGATTCACGTCGCTCGGTAAACGCTGTATAATAGATAAGATAAGCGGAGGTGCAAAACCTAAATTTGATGAGGACAAGATAAATTTTGCGATGCCCTCTGGTGACGCAAGAGGACCGATTTTATATAGAGAAAAAGAAATTAAATTAAAATGTTTATTCACAAAAATGCAAAAATCTTCACTTTAACTAACATTAAGTAATAACGAACGAATCGAAAAGTGGTTTAAATGCTCTCAAAATGTTTGTATGACTCAACTAAAAGTATATTGCCCTTGCAAGCAATTTTTATTCAGTAGTTTTAACCCATTTACCATAAATTAGACTATTTTGACGCGTTTTTACATGAAAACTCGGGGCGAATAAGAGGCTGAATGGGGCAAAGCTGCTAAATTAAAAATAATATTCTTAGTTGAAAGTCATACAAACATTTTGGTGACAATTAAAACTATTTTACATAATAGTTCAACCATTCAACCTTCTATTCACCCCGGGTTTTCTAGACAAAATAGTTTAATTTATGGTGAATGAGGTAGAACTACTGAATAAAAAATGTTTTTTGAGAGTCATACAAATATTTTCATATCAATTAAACCACTTTTCAACTTTTGGTTGCGATTTTACACATATTTCAAAGTTACATTTTTTTTCTTATTGACCCTTTCGCCAACACAAAAAAATACTTGCAATGTCATCTTGATTCAGAAAAAAAAACGCGTTTAAATTTGAATCAATTATTTATAAATTCGAATTTGTTCTTATTTGTGACAATTAAATTCGTTTATTTCTTATAGTGTGTTTATATTAAAAATGAAAGTTGCGAAAAAGCCCTCAGCAAATCGTAGTTAACAAATATTTCTAGATGTTTGTGTAGCATCCAGATAAGTCCAGATAAGTCTTAAAACATGTTAAATATATTATTTATGACGAAAGCAAGGAAACTAAATTTAAATTAACGCTAAATGAAACTCAACAATACTATTATAACGATAATAATATCTAAAAACAGTTAAAAATCACAAATACAAAAGCCCACCCAAAACTTACACTATGTAAACAAACAAATATCCTACTTATAGGTGACAAATGAAAGGCGCGCGAAAATTAACTTGAATCGCGAATTATCTCTGCAAATGAAATATCGACGTTGCATTTTCTATATGGAGTGTGACTCAAACGTGTCCATTTTATTGCATGACAGAAAATGCGAGAGAAAAATTCTCAGAAACATAGCAACGTGTAATAAACTGATTGAACGCTAACAGATGACCTAGCTGTATTGTTAATGTGAAGCAAATTACGTATAAATTATTAAGTTTAATACTGAAATCTCGTATATTTTTATGTTTTCACATTCAAATAAGGTACCTAAAAATGAAATAATAAGTGTGATACATTATAGTGTAAAGTAACAATAATGTATTTTAAACATTTTTTTTTGCATAATTTTTATAATGCAAGAAATTCTTCTTTCGATATATGGTAACTCTGTTAGGACCGATTCCACCGTTGTGTTAAACGAACTTTAAAATGACATTTTTACATTAACAATGTTGTCATTTTAATCTCCGTTTAACACAACGGTGGAATATGTCTTAAGACAGATAGTTTGAAAATTTGGCGAAACACGTACAATTTACATATCAAGGGGGACAATTGTTGAGGCATTTGTTGTCGTATTACTTTCAACCCCCTAACCCCCAAAACACCTCATAAAATTTTAAATGGCAATCCCTATTTCTTTTACCATTTTTGTGTTACTTATGTAATTCTAGAAAAATTGTATTATTTTTTTGTCACAATTGAAGTACCTAACCTCACAAATGTGTTGAATGTATTTAAAATCTAAATGTAAATAATGCAATTTCTTAAAAAAAGTATGATAATGGTTTTCATTGTGTTGCAAGCACAAGTACATCCGATATTCAAACTGTTCTCGGACGTGTTGAATAGTCTCAGGTGAAATATCTCTACATTCTTGTACAATTCTTTGTTGCAATGATTCAATTGAGTCTGGTTGGGTTTTGAATACAGCGCATTTCAAGTGACCCCATAGGAAAAAATCCAGTGTCAGATCTGGTAACCTAGGTGACCATTATAAGGGCGTACATAATGAGGAGGTGCTCCGTCCTGATGGAGGTGCAGGAAACGTTCATCTATAGCAGCTGTTCTCAACATTTTATTCTTTCGGGCTACATAAATCTGTTTGTTATGCTACAGGGGCCACAATATCATAATATTTTTGGTGATAACCAGAGTTGCCAGAGGACCTCATATTGTTTTAGTTTACATATTTTCTAAAAAAGGACTAGGTTATTCCTAATAATAGTGTTTGGTGCTGCACAAAAAAGCTTGGAGGTCCGCACAAAACACCTTGGAGGGCCGCAGGTTGAGTATGGCTGATCTAGAGCAAGATTTCCATTGGCGCCCCTTTGATTTTCCCCCTCATGAATAATACGAGGTTCTATAGCCCTGTCTTACATTTCTGCATAAATTTGACCATTTAGATGATAGTATTGTCTAATATACCTGCCCAAATATTAATTTTTTTGAGTATATTGTGCATGCCTCTCTCTAATAATGTGTGGATTGAAGTCGCTCCAATAACGGCAGTTTTGTTTGTTGACCGTAAAAACTGCATTCGTCACTGAAACAATATGATTAATTACCCTGTTGGTCATAATTTCGCAAAACTCAATACGTCTGTCTGGGTCCTCATCCCCTAATTCTTGAGGGATTATTGTAGATGAAATTTGTGAAGCTTTAATAATTTCCTGAATACGACAGTTTAGTTTGTTGCGCAACTTTACGAAGAGTCGTAGTGGGAGCCATAGCAACTTGACCAAGTACCTCAATCTGAACGGCCCGATTGAGCAAACTTGGCCCATTCCCTTTTCTAATT